TTTTGATTTTTGATTTTTGTTTTTTTTGTTTTACTTTCAGTTTCAGTTTCTTCTTCTGTGGATGTTACGTGACTAAAGAAGCTCTGTGTCCTCATGTGAGGCAAACAAATGGTGAGTCTGTTGCCATGGTGATCTCATACATGCTGCGTTTCATCACTTTCTTATTCACTTTTTTTTTCTTCAGGAGCGTCCCACGAATCTGTGCACAGTTGCGTTTCTTGTGTAAAGGGCAGAGTCGTTTCATCTGCTAACACTGAGCACGTCTCCTGAGGAACAGCCTGTGACGTCAGGTGAGTGAGGTGTGGGCGTTACCTCGGGCAGCAGCGCCGGGTCGTTGAGCAGCAGCAGCAGGAAGAGCTCGTCCTCGTTTAGCTGCTGCAGCGAGCACTCTTTCAGCAGCCTGGAGTTATGATCAGACCGCAGGTCGTGGGATGATCGACATGGTTTCCTGTGAGGAGGTACATTTACCATCAGCTCCTCTCACCCCGCTGTCAATACCAGTCAGTCAATCAACCAACCAATCAGTCCATCAGTCAATCAATCAGTCAGACAGATAGATAATGGATCAGTGGTGCATGCTGTAGCAGGTGAGTGTTTTCAGGACTGAAGCTGGTTTGTGATGATCGTCTGCAGAATCAGTTAGCATGGTGATGCAAACACGTAGGAAGTGAAACTTCCTAGTGGCAAGTGCTACCCTAAAAGAATCCCTTGCCAACCCAAGTGCCACCCCAGTTTTGCATATGACAGTGTTGTTTATTAAAATAAGATAGCATTAACAGTTTGAGCGTAGTTACAGTGAATATAAATGCTAAAACTGAATATATTGCATAGTGTTCTCCCCTCCACCATTAACAAATGGTTCAGCCCATAGCGGGACCGGCTTTTTTCTTGTTTTCAGTAGCAAGCGATGGTTATGCTTGTGCCAGAGCACATTTTGAACAACACCATGGGAATTTCGGATTTTACACAGGTGGTTGGATGTTACACTGTGGAAATGGAAGGCACAGACCTATGCCCTGATTAGGAACCTACTCAGTCCGGTCAAGCCAGGGGATCGTTCTTATGCTGAGTTGGTGGGATTATTGAACAATCATTTTCACCCTAAGCCGAGTGAAACTGTGCAGCGGTGGAAGTTTAACACACGGAATAGAAGGCCGGAGGAAAGTGTGGGCGATTATGTAGCGGAGCTAAGGAAGCTCGCACAGGACTAACTTTGGAGACTCCCTGACGGTGATGCTGCGGGATCGTTTAATATGTGGAATAAGCGACGACAGAATACAGCACAGATTGTTAGCAGAGGATTTGCTAACATTTGAAAAGGCGCTGAAGTTTGCTCAAGCAATGGAGGCTGCTAACAGAGACATTGTGGATTTGAAGAGCATGACGGAACAGTCGCGATTCACTAAAGGATTAGGAGCGGTGAACAAGATGGAGGACGGCGGCTCGACGTCACAACAGGTTGTCAGGAAGTGCTACAGATGTGGAGGGCTAAATCATGTGGCCAAGGACTGCAGGTTTGTTTCAGAAAAATGCCACAACTGTGGAAAGGTGGAACACATAAAAAGGGTCTGCTGAATGAAAATGGAACAAAAAGGAGGGCGTGGCAGACAAGGTAAACAAGCCCATTTCTTGGAAGAGGAGAATGTGGAGAGTGAGGAAGAAGGAGCTGAAATGCACCACATAAAGGCAAGTGTGACTATGTATAATGTGCATGAGGAGATTAGCATCCCAAGGGAAGAACCCATCAGACAGAAGCTAAAAGTAAATGGACAGAATGTGACATTTGAAGTAGACACAGGCTGTGGTTACACTATCATGTCGAAGGAGTCATTAAAAAAACTTTTTGAAGGCAGTAATGCGCCCAAAGTAAGCAAGTGTGGAATCAAACTGAGAACGTATGGAGGCCACAAGGTACCCGTGTGGGGAGGCAGCCCAAGTGCAGGTGGAATTCAGAGACAGTAAGAAAACACTGGATGTGGTGGTGGTTGAAGGGGCTGGAACTAGTTTGATGGGTCGGGGATGGATTAAGGCCCTCCAATTAGACTGGCAACCTGTACATAAGATAGAAGGCAGAGATGATGCCTTACAGCGGATACTGGCCAGACATGAAACAGTGTTTAAGGATGAGTTGGGAACGCTGAAGGGGTTTGCAGCAAAGATACATGTAGCCAGTGATGCCAAACCGTGCTTCTATAAGCCCCGATCAGTTCCGTTTGCTATGAAAAAGAAAGTGGAGCAGGAACTGGAGAGACCTGTTGGAGGAGAAGATCATCCAACCAGTGAAATTCTCAGAGTGGGCCGCACCCATTGTACCCACACTAAAGCCAGACTCCAGCGCCAGAATTTGTGGTGACTACAAACTGACTGTTAACAAGGTGTCGCCTGTAGAACAATACCCCATTCCACGAATGGAGGACATGATAGCGGGGCTGGCGGGAGGAGAAAAATACACCAAGTTAGATATGAGTCACGCATACAACAGGTTGTACTTGATGAGGAATCTAGAAAGTATGTCACAGTGAACACACACAGGGGTTTGTTTACATACACCAGGTTGCCATTTGGTGTGAGTTCAAGTCCTGCCATTTTTAAGCGCACCATGGAGAGTGTGTTGCAAGTAGGGCTGGGCCATATTATACCGTTCACGGTAATACCGGTATAATGTTAGGCAACGATAGGAAAATGAAATATCGCGATAGAATGGGAGTAAAACGCGCATGCGCAGTGCCTTTGTTTACATACGCACATGGCCGATTGTTGAGTGAAACAGATGATCCAGAATTGGTTTGTAAAAATGGTGCAACTTCCGTGATGTGGAACTGGTTTGGTGTTTGTCCGTCAGATACACAACAAAGCACATTTTTTTGCAGAACATGCAAGCCGGCCGTTGTTATTGTCGTATTTGTCGGACTAAGATGCTCTTAATCTGGGAGTAATCTGGGTCCTAAACTCCGTATGCTTCAGGTCAAACAACACTGCAGCATCACTTAGAGTTAAAAACTGTCTAAATTTCTTTCATCTTTAATAAAACGATCAGCATTGCTGCTTTACCAGGTGTAACTATAAAGTTTAACTTCCAGGCATCCATGAAAACAAAAGTTATTACATTTAACGGAGTTAGAAGTTAGCAGGAAGCTAGCGGAAGTTAGCTCGCTAGTTTCGCTAGTTACCTAAGCATGATATTGCATGTTCTGACTGAGAGATTTCTGAAAAAAATCAAACGTACAGCTCTGCTATCACTTCCAACATAAATGAAGACAGGAAACTAAACAGCCAGTGACGTTTGTAGGGTTACTGAAGTTGGGCTAGCTGGATATATAATGATGTGCTACGTGATCGCTAGCGACACAGCTTGTTAGCATAACATAAACAGTGAAGCTGGAGGACGAACACTAACACTTTTCCACTTATAAAAGTTAACGTGAAGGTTCTTCATGGTTAAAGAGACAAATGCAATCGCATGGCAGGATGCTGTAAACGGACCAAACTTCAGTCAGGAGAACACTGAGATAATCCATCCACAATACGAGGTTAGTCATTAATATACTGCAACAACATGGGAATAGAGCAGCTGCCAGAGAATTCAACATTAAGGAATCAATGGTACAGAAGTGGAGGAAGGAAGAAGAATGAGTTAATAAAGTTTGATTTATCTGACTGGTTTTGTTTCGCTTAATGTGCCTTATAATCCCGTGCACCTTATGGTCCGAAAAATGCATACTGCACACTGCAGTTTAATGTTGCAAAGCACCTCTTTTTAACTTCAGTGGATTTATACATGGTTTATGCTCAGGACATGTCAGCCCATTTCTAGTGGAAATGCCTTTTGGTTAAACTTTCAGCAAGCAATTTGCATTTGTACTGTTACATTTTTATAAAGCTTTAATGTACATAAAAACCAGCTTCTTGTTTAAGTGAATATAATGGAAGGTGTCTTTTTGCGCTAGTAATGTTGTGGAGTTGTATTTTGTCTCGCATCAATTATATCGTCGGTTTATATCGTTATCGCAAATTTTCAAATATATATCGTGATAAATATTTTTGGCCATATCGCCCTGCTCTAGTTGCAAGGTCTGACCAATGTCGCAGTGTATCTGGATGACATCATCCTGACGGGAAAGAATGACAAAGAACATCTTCAAACACTGGATGGAGTGCTGCAGCAGTTGGAGGAGGCGGGCCTGCGCTTAAAAAGGAGCAAATGTCAATTCATGGAGAAGGAAGTGACATTTTTAGGACATCGGGTAGATAAGACCGGTTTACATCCAGTGCCAGCAAAAGTGAAAGCAGTGCAGGAGGCGCCACCCCCAAAATCAGTGACAGAGCTCAAAGCTTATTTGGGGTTGTTGAACTTCTATAATAAGTTCTTGCCAAACTTGTCCACACTGTTGGCCCCACTGCACAAGCTTCTGAGAAAGGGGGAACCATGGTGTTGGGGACCAACACAGGAGAAGGTTTTCTGCAAATCAAAGGAACTGTTGCAGTCAAGCAGTGTATTGGTACACTATGATGAGCAAAAGGATTTAATTCTTTCTTGCGATGCGTCCCCCTATGGAGTGGGAGCAGTACTAGCTCACCGCATGCCAGATGGTCAGGAAAACCCATTGGGTTTGCATCGCGTACCCTGAATACAGCAGAAAAAAAACTACTCACAGCTGGATGAAGAAGGATTGGCTGTAATATTTGGTGTACAGTATTTTCATACGTACCTGTACGGCAGGAAGTTCATGATTATCACGGATCATAAGCCATTGATAAGTTTGTTCCATGAGTTGAAGGCCATCCCTCAGATGGCATCACAGAGGATCATGCGATGGGCGGTGTTATTAAGAGCCTATGAGTATATCATTAAATACAGAGAAGGCAAAAATAACAGTAATGCTGATGGTCTGAGTCGTCTCCCTCTTCCAGAGAACCTCCCTAAAGAGGTGGCAGCTGAGGACCAAGTGTTGATGGTAGATCAGGACCAGGAGGGCGTGATGACATCTGAGCAGCTGCAAAGATGGACAACCAAAGATCCCATACTCTCCAGAGTGCGTGAGTATGCTTTGAGAGGATGGCCCACTACGCAGCATCCTAATTTTCAGCCCTACAGACAGAGACAACAGGAGCTGAGTGTGCAGGATGGGTGTGTGCTGTGGGGGGCGAGGGTGGTGATACCAGAACGACGTCGACGCCCCCTTTTGGAACAGCTACATCAGTCACACCCAGGAATGAGCCGCATGAAGGCCTGGCCAGAAGCTACATGTGGTGGCCGCATATGGAGAATGACATTGAAGACAAGGTGAGGTCCTGCAGTACATGTCAAGAACATAGACACAGGCCGCAAGAGGCACCGCTACACCCCTGGGAGTGGCCAGAAAAGCCCTGGAGAAGGATACATATCGATTATGCTGGCCCGTTTTTGGGTAAAGTGTTCTTAGTAATAGTGGACGCCCACTCCAAATGGTTAGATGTGTATCCAGTTCCATCCGCTACAGCAGCTGCAACCATAGACTGCCTGAGAAACTGTTTCAGCACGCACGGCCTTCCTGAGATGGTGGTCTCAGATAATGCCCAGTGTTTTGTAAGGGCACAAACTAAAGAGTTCATGGCAAAGAACGGAATTACTCACGTCACCTCCGCTCCATATCACCCAGCATCCAATGGGTTAGCAGAAAGAGCAGTGCAAACGTTCAAAGAACTCATGAAAAAGAGTACTGGAGACACACTGGCAACCAAGTTAAACAGGGCTCTGTTTAGTTACAGAATCACACCACAGTCCACAACAGGGAAGTCTCCCGCTGAGTTGATGATGGGCCGGAAGTTGAGGTGTACTCTTGATCTCATACACCCTGACTTGAAACAGAAAGTGACAGCAAAACAAGATAGCCAAAGACTGTATCATGATAGACATGCCAAGGAGCGCATGTTTGTTATTGGAGACACAGTATATACCAGAAACTATGGCAGAGGACCCAAATGGATACCAGGACTTATACAGGAGATGACGGGGCCTGTTTCCTACTTGGTGATGCTGGGCAATGGGACAGTGGTGAGGCGTCACGTCGATCAGCTGTTTGCCCGCCTGGAGCCGTGCCTGGCAGCAGGAATGCCTGAAGGCCACCCAGGCGAGCCCCCAAAGGCAGCCCCAAACATCAGCGCTGAGACAGGAGACGAGGATGAGAGACACATGGAGGTGCAAGTTACACCAGTGGTGAAGCCAACATATGGAGAGTAGTGATTCACTGGAATCACCTGCCACTGGGTTACGGCGATCGCAAAGAACCAAGAGACCGCCGGAGCACCTGAGAGACTTTGTGCCGTGATTACGGTGAACTGTTATAGGTTAACCTAAGACTGTTGGACTAAAGGTTTTAAAGAAATTTAAATAAAGGCTGGGGACGGGTTGTTGCATTTTATAAAGGTGAAGTTTTTGTTTATGGGTATTTTCTGTAGTGATAAAACTACAGAGTAGTTCCAGTTTAAGGGGGGAGGAATGTTATGTTGTGGCAGGGATTTGTCCACCAGGGGGCAACAGTTGTTGGAGAGCTTTCACTCTGTGGGGCGCATGTCCCGGTTCTCTTAATAAAGAAGTAACTGTGAGCTAAACATGGTCTCCGTGGTTCCTTAGTCTTAGGATATCACAAAAGCAAACCAACAAACACGAAAACACCAGACATTATGATACAGACTTATAATTTGCACCGATGTTTTTTCGAAATTCTATACATGAAAAGTGAGCGCGAGAGCCCTCGTGCGCCTGCTCGCTGCTGAAGTCAAAGTAAACTTATTGTCATCTCCGCTACATACAGGCCAGTATATAGAGAGACGAGACGACGAGGTTCCAGTTACAGCAGTGCAAGTAAACAAAAAAATAAAATAAATAAATAATAATATATATATATATATATATATATATATATATATATATATAAGATATAATATAAGATAAGAAAATAAATATACACTTTAGGACCAGGGTAAAGGGATCAATAACAATTTAATATTTACAGTTTGATGATTGATGATTTAAAGTCTCACACACAACCCGTCGAAAGGGAGGAGAGCCTTGCTGCTTCCAAATAGAGCACATTTCATTCACAATGATGTAAATCCAGCCCATTATGTATTCATGATTTGAATCCTGGTTGTGTAAAATCTCTGGACAAGAAAAGTTCAAAGTCATCAGGTGCTCAGTTTAGAAAAAGAGAAAAGAAGAGGAAGAGAAACGAGCAAAAGATGCAGGTAAGCAGATGTGTCATTGGATATGGCAGGTCATCCTGAAACAATCAGAATCAGAATACTTTATTAATCCCTAAGGAAATTATGTGCGTTACAGTTGCTCCAAGAAGAAATGGTAAAAATAGTAACAGTAACAGACTAAACTCCAAACAATACATTATGTTACAGATTTTAATATTAACTAGTCATTGTTAATTGTTGATTCATCCTGTTCTCATTGTATGACGAATTATGATGGCTGTTTGGTAGCTGTTTGCATACTATGCATACTCTCTCTCTCTTCATATGTGTGTGTGTGTGTGTGTGTGTGTGTGTGTACAACAGTTTTATGTTAATGTACAATAAATGGTAAATGGCCTGTATTTATATAGCGCTTTTACTAGTCCCTAAGGACCCCAAAGCGCTTTACACATCCAGTCATCCACCCATTCACACACACATCCACACACTGGTGATGACAAGCTACATTGTAGCCACAGCCACCCTGGGGCGCACTGACAGCGGCGAGGCTGTGAAGTTATTCTCTGAGCTAAGTTGTACACAAGTACAGGATGTCATTTGAGAGTTGTTTTTTTCAATACTTAATATGTTTTGTCTGTGTGTGTGTGTGTCCGCCCAGGGCGCCAAACAGGCTTGGACCGCCCCACTGCACATGACTGATGTAAGCTGACATAGCAACAAGCTGCAGCCACGCTCAGTCTCTATTTCAGCCCTCATTGAAAGTTCGGACTTCAAAGTTTTTACATTTTAATTACAGGCCAGTAAATCCAGAATTATGATAATATATATAAGCCACGCTTTTTTCTAAATACTGTCGTCACGTTTTGTGTGTGTTTTAAGCGTTTTCTAAGGACAGCACGAAAACCGTAAAGAAAGAAATAAAGCCACATGTTTCCTATCGGTGGAAAAACGTACCATGTCGACCAATTTAAAAAAAAAAAAAAAAAAAAAAAAAAGTCAGCACGTGGGATTTGGTTGTGTTAAATTATAATATTATTTTATGCCATGTTATACCCCTAATTAAAGGCTGTGAATTATTATGTAGTCTTAGTTTGCATTATTCTCCTGAATTAGAAGAAGCTGATAACTATTGCATTCGTTAAATTGATTTGCATTACATTAGACTGCTGATTTATTGTGGATGAATGATATTGTTTTATGATGTTATAAGAAATACTGTTCGCAGAAAGTCATCGCCTTATTTGTCTGATTAGAAGAGAACGGAACATGCTGGAGTTTTCTGCCCCATCTCAGCAGGAGCAGATAAACAGGGAGCCAAGGTCGTAGCTTAGGCGCCGTGTGAGAGAAAGCATGTGAATGTTTAGGCTTTTATGATAAGGTGGGGACACCAGAGGCTATAAGAGTTTGATCAATGCTCCACCATTTTGAGATCTGAGGCTGTCTGCATACAGTGTCCATCTCCCACGCGTGTGACTATTAAAATCATCGTTTGACTTAACCCGGCCGGACCAGTGTTGTTATTGTGGTTTTTCCTCTTGTCTCCATCCCCAATTTTGAACTCGTAACAGCTGTTTAGGAAGAGGGGAGAGTTTTGGGAGTGACGTAACGGCAGCGAGACAGAGCGAGAGAGAGCGAGCGAGAGAGTTTTAAGATGTGGGAGATTTGTGACATTTAGTGTGGAGTGTATACTTAGTGTGTTGTGTAGTCGTTGTTTTGTTTTATGTGTCAGTGAGGGCACTAATGAATGTCACAAAGGCACATTTGGAACGTAAACACTGAGTAGAAAACCAGCGGAGTGATACACCTCCTGTTGTCAGGCCTGCAGGTTTATCCCTGTGCTGTTCTCCTCTGTCTTTTGGTGGACAAACTTTTTTTTTTTTTTTTTTTTTTTTTTTTTTTTACTGGCACACATCTTATTGCAATACCTGATTGTTCTCTCATTTTAGTTTTAGTAATATTTTAAAATGGTTGTACAAAAATGAAAAAACAAAACGGCAGGTGTATTGGCTGCATTTTTATAATATAGTTTAATATAATTTTTATAGATAAATTGTTGTTTATGTTTACAAAATGTACATTTTATATTTGCATTTCAAGTTATAAAAATGTACTCAACATGTCTGTGTTTTTTTTACAGTAAAGAAATACTACTAGGATTTTAAGTTCTTTGTGTGATTTCAGATCAGTAATACTAATGCAGTATGTCAGTGGAAAAAAAAACAAACAACTAAATTCAGATGAGCTGAAAAAAAGAATGATACCAAACAAGGCAAGGGGAAAAAAATAAAATGAAACAATCTGAGGGTGAAATACAAATGTAAACTCAAAAGGAGTCAAAAATGGCCGTTTGTATTTCAGACCTCAGTGGGTGAATCCAACAAATCATGAAAAATTAGGTTTAAATTTTCATGACAGTGCAGATTTCTGACATTGTGTGTAATTTAAGCATCTAACAATGTGATTGTTTTCTAACAAAAAACAGTGTGAAACTTAAGTTAGACTTGTGTTTGTAAATGAACCGCCCCATGTTGTGTAGCTTTCTGGATTTTATACTTATTGGGCTACATATTTATTTATTATACAGGCTATACAGCACATAACATCAAAACTCACATGTTTTATGTAACTAAAGTGTGTAATTATGTGGGCTACAGACAATAATTAAGTTATAGACTATATTTATATGAAAAACGTGTATACTTACTGCATTTGATTTTAACCATACGTAACCACCTGCATATGTGTTTGAGAAAAAAAAAAAAAAAAAAAAAAAAGGCTTTGATTTTGCCACCCCATTTGATTTCTTTGCCACCCTAAGAAAATTTCTCTAGATCCGCCCCTGTTCCTGTGGTCTCATTTCTCAAGAAAACAAAACTCATCTGACAATCAGCTGGTTGCTGACGTCACAGTGACGTCTGGCAGCAGGTGTCAGCTTGTTTCCTGTCAGCTTTAGAGACAACACCCACCACCGACAATAACAACAACAACAACAACAACAACAACAACAATAAGAATAATGATGAAGATGGTAATAAGGATGATGTGTGGATGATAAAGATGATGAAGATAAGGATGTCTCTGTTGCGGCGGAAACTTTTGTTTCTGTTTCATTTCCTTAACTTTCGTTCAGCCTCTGTGTGTGTGAGAAAGAGAGAGAGAGACACATACGCACGCATGCACACACACACACACACCTGCCCTTGCCGAACTTGCAGGTTCCGTAGATGTAGAATCTGCAAAGGTGCAGTTGGTCACAGTCTGCGCACGGCTCCCCGAGCCGGTGGCTCACGCACACGCGCAGTGACGTCTGCGCCAGCACCGTGCAGTCCTCGGGGCGTAGCCAGCCATCCGTCTCCGGCCCACGGACCAGCAGGAAGCGGGGATGCCCATAGACCAGCTTGCAGAGGAGCTCCTCGGAGACACGACAGAGTCGCCGCAGCTCCTCGTATAGCTGCGGGAGCCGCAGAGCTCCTCCGGCGGCGCACAGCAGCCTAGTGGCCTCAAAGATCACTCGGTCGCACCCAGACATGCTCTCTGCTCGGCGTCCAGACTCCGACTGAGGACGGGGGAGGCGGACCGACAAGCATGTGACAGCCGGGCTTCCGCTCTCAGTGACGTTTAATCGCGGAGCCTCATCAGTTTGTCACTGCCACAATAATAAATACAGGCGAGCACCATATAACACAACCGGAAATAAAGTAAAATACATGTCAGTCACATTAATAAACAAACTGCAAACCCAAGTGTCTGCCTCTCTCTCCGGAGCAGGTGAGTCCTGGTTCGAGCACAGCTCTGGTCCTTCATCACTGGATCATCACTTACATTTATGAGCGCCAGTAAACGCGTCACTCAGTGTTTCACTGAAAGAGTTCATAAAGCTTACATGCAGGATTTATTTCACCATGTCATCATCCAGTTGTCTGTGCAGCAGTGTACGGCGTGTCTGTGCAGACGTGTTTACACTGCTCGCTCCGTCAAAGGACCACCACGAGAGACGTCGTTACTTCAGTCTGAGCTCGTGGTTGTCGTGAACGTTTAGCTTTGTCTAATTTGTGTGCAAGCGCCATGAACCATAAATTGAAACTCTTCATAAAATGACTGTCACGGTCCATTTTACTGTGTTACCGGTGACAACACCTGGGCCCTATTTCAGGAAGCCGGTTTAGAAAACTCAGAGTTAAAAATGATACGCAGGGTTGAGTAACCCCGAACTGTCCAACTCGGAATATTCGGTTTCAGAAAGGCTGATAACAATTAGTTCAATCAACGCGGAGTTGCTTTAACCCCAAATTAAGCGCGCGCACGAGGATACATAAAGCCCTGATTAGTGGAGCGCAGATTAAGCGAGTCACCATGGAGACGGAGGGAAGAAGGCGCGGTCAATGTATTTTACAGCGCTTGAGGCCGAAATTCTGATGCAGTATATGCAATAACATGCAAATTTTGCGGGAAAAAAGTAACACAGCCTCAGCTGCAAAGAAAGAGAGCATGCATGGCAAAACATAGCGACAGAGTCAATGCGTGAGTGTTAATTTAAACATTGATCTAGGGATTTCTCACCATTTAACACGTTATTTTATTATTTTTATTTTTTATTTCATACATTTTATTTTGTGATGTGATGTGAACGCAGGTGCAACCCAACAGGCCCCAAACGTTCCTGGCAGCAAGTAAAATGAAATATAAAAATATGTCCAAACAGGTAAGGTGTAATTGTATTATGAGCCATAGTGCTTGGTCTGTTTGTCCGATGTAAATCAATTGCAGTTAGAGGCTACATTAATTTTCTTTCTGTAAGCACTTATTGAAATTATCTGAGCACATTACAAGTACATATTTGCTTAGTCTGTATGCTCATATGCGACCCGTTATAGCCACTAGAAAAAAAGTGGAGGCCCGAAAACAGGTGGGGGTCCTCCACCACCACCACTCACAGAGGCTGAGCAGTTGGCTTCCACATTTGTGATAATGTTGGCAGCATCACATATGATCTTCACAGTGCAGAGAACACAAATTAGCATCCATTACTATAATGAAATTTGTTAGTTTGAAATGCTACAGGGAACTATGTACCTGCACATTAATGCTGTGGAAAGACTTCCTGTTCACATAGTCTCCTTCATTTACTGAAGGAGCAATGATTGGAATGTGAGTGCCATCTCTACAGCCAATCACGCCTGGGAACCGTGGGAATAAATGTAACATTTAAGTAGCAGTTCAAGTATCACCACATCATGAATTAAGTTTCGTTCATCCTGTACCTGCAATTTTGTGGAATCCCTCGTTGATAAATCTTGTGGGTCTATGACCGGGGAACACCACAAACGAGTACAGGAGACGTTTCAGTGCAACTGTAACATTCCTGACTGCCCGACAGACGGTAGCCTTGGAAACGTGCTCAGCGTCACCAATATTATACAGAAAGCTCCCGTTTGCAAAAAACCGAAGTGCAATACAAATAATATGTAGAGAACTGGGACAATGTCCGCGATGTGTCACATGAGCAATATTAGTCCTGAGGATGTTATTCAAATAAATTATAGATTGTGCTGAAAAACGGTAACGTTCACACAGGAAATCATCAGGAAATGATAAAATGTCCAAACGCGCTCTAATCACTCTCTCCCGGCGGAGAGCTCTGCGGAGAATTTGGGCTTCAACATCTACTGGCTCTTCAAGGAAGGAGCAAGCCATGTCTGACACTTCCTACTGTCAGGTTTCCGACAAAGAGGCGGAGAAGGTCAGGGTTAGTTGAAGTAAACCTGCTAGGGGGCAGGTTAGCTTCACGGAGTGTGTTGTCATAATAACTCACTCAGAATTAATCTAAACTCGCTTTGTGAAACCGAAAACCCAGAGTTTTCGTTAACTCAGGGTATACTTACTCAGAGTTTGCACTAAACCGGCTTCCTGAAACAGGGCCCTGATGCTCCACTCAGACCTCGGACTTGATGTCATGCTATCGTTCTGAATGGTGGATATTCAGAGGCTTTTGTGTCAGTCAGCAGCGTCACGCACAAAAACCTGCTGTTTCAAACGGCCCCACGCCGTGATGTGGCTGCTGCAGCAACACACAAAAACAGCTGCGCACTCTACTCACCTCCAGCCCATCAGCGGACTGCGCTCTCTTTGATTTTATGCTGTTCCATCCATGACGCGTGCACGCAAGCCAGCTCCAGCTACAATTTCTGGTAGAAGCTCCTCCCACTGACGCTGACATCAGCATACATCTTCTAATGCAAGTGGATCCGAACTGAATCCTCAGTGAAAAGGGACAACACAGACACTGGAGACTCACCTGTCTCCACCTGTTGTCACACTGAATGCTGCAGATTGACAGTGGAGGGAGGGGTCTCGTACAGGTGTGTGCAATCACACAGGTCAGGCTGATGAAGGTGAAGCTCAGCAGCGTGAAGCCTGTAAGTCTTCTGAGGGTGAACGTGAGACAGACATGCTGCTGCTGGTCGTCTGTGTTCTGTCGGTCTACACAGGTGAGACAAGTCTCCCCCCCACCACACACACACACACTGCTGGTTTGTGTTTGTGCAGCCTGATCAGTCACCTGCTAGTAGGACTATTTTGGATGCAGAGTTTACAACTATTACACCTGAGGGTGTCCTCGAGTGTCCTGAAGACACAGCGACTCCAAAACCGTTTTAAATGGTTTTTATGTTTGCTGTGCGTTACAGCTGTTAATATTTTGTTTGCAGCTGGAGGTTCGACACAGATCCAGAATCAGCGGAACCCCACTGTAAATGGAACTGCGCAGGAAAGCTCGCTGTTCTCCGCACGCTTCGGCTTCACAGGTGATCCACGCGTTAACGAGTCCGAGGTTTTTACGTTACACGTGGGAACCCGTGATTATGGAGTGCCAGGACTGCCATAATGAATTAATTAAATACACCATTAAATAATTAATTAAATGTGTGAATAATTAAACTGTGAAATACATGAATATTTAATTAAATGTGTCAATAATTAATGTGTCAATTAATAAATTAAACGTGTCAATAATTAATGTGTCAATAATTAATTAATTAAATATGTCAATAATTAATTAAATGTGTCAATGATTAATCAATTACATTTGTCATAACTATTTATTTAATTAATTAATTCCAATTTTAATTAATTATTGCCACATTTAATTATTTAATGGTGTATTTAATTAATTCATTATGGCAGTCCTGGCGCTCCATGGGTGATATGAAAGATGCTCAGTAAAATGAGAAATAAAATGACCTCATGAAAAGAAAAGAAAATAATATATAAAATAATATATATATATAATATATATATATATATAAAAAAACAAGTTTCTTTTACAAATATTTTATTTTGTTATCGTTATAGGCTTGTAATAGTATTAAAATGGAAATATTTTAGTTTTTGAAGAGGAAGAATCATACGCATATGATTTAAACATTTTTTAAATGCTTTTTTAAAGATAATTTAGAAATGTTACTTTAAAGTATGTAAGTTTGTATTAAAACAGTAAAATCCTGTGAAACCCTGCCAGATCTTCACTGACAAATAAAAATGTTTCATGTTTTTAAATTGGTGCTGAAAATATTTTAACTCTTTATATGTTGTACCATGCTGCCTGTGCTTTTATTTGAAGTTTCTCCTTAAACCCGTTGGCTTATTTATGTATTTATGGTCATTTTTCTGTAACATTGGCGGTTGAACAGTTTTTATCTGAAATAATTAGCTGAGCTCTCTTCTGACCTCTGCCCTCAGACCTCGCCGGGGTGCGCTCCTTCATGCTGGAGCAGGAGCTGGAAACCCGAATCATCGGGGGTCAGGAGGCCTGGGCTCACTCGTGGCCCTGGCAGGTTTCCCTGCAGCTCGCCTCCATGCCAGCCTGCGGGGGTGCTATCGTCAGCCCGCTGTGGGTCATCTCTGCTGCCCACTGCTTCGTAAGGTCAGAGGTCACGTTTGTTTTGTCGCAGCCTCTGCAGTTGGCTTTTTTTTTTTCTTTTTTCTTTTTTTTTTGTAAATAGTTTAGAATAGTTTGAGATGTTCAGAGAGGGTTCCAGTGTTAGACCTGGTCAGATGGTAGCAGTAGTACATGTAATACATTTAGAGCGTTTTTGGCTCAGAACAACCTTCTCTGACACCAGGACAGATCCAGGATCAGGTTTATCACCTCTGTGTTTGACGTGGTAATCTGCAGCACAGGGGTGCTACAGGGCACGGTTCTCTCACCCTTCCTGTTTAGCCTGTATACTTCGGACTTCTGTTATAATTTGGACCATTGCCACCAACAGAATTTCTCAGATGATACAGCCATCAACGGATGCATATCATACAGGAATGATCAGGAATAGATGAGGGTCATCACTGACTTTGTTGGCTGGTATGAGACCAACGCACTCCAAATCAACGCCAGCAAGACAAAGGAGATGGTCATAGACTTCAGGAGGAAGTAAACCCCTACAAACACTGGTTAACATCCAAGGAGAAGACACTGAGATTGTGGACTTTTACAAGTACCTGGTTGTTCACCTCAGCAATAAACTGGCCTGGACTAAAAATACAAATGTCCTGTATAAGCAGGGCCAGAGTCAACGCCACCTGCTGAGGAGACTGAGGTCCTTCGGAGTCTGCAGGACTCTGTTAAGGACATTCTATGACACTGTGGTAGCATCTGCCTTTTTCTATGCAGTGGCCTGCTGGGGAGCGGATGCATGGACAGGAGCAGGACTGACAAACTGGTGTGGAGGTCTTATTCTGTGCTGGGATGTCCTCTGGAGCCAGTGGGCAAGAGGAGGATCTTAGTAAAGCTGACATTCATCATGAACAACCAACATCTCCCTCTACATGAGTCTGTGAGTGTGC